CTCTACTCCTTGAGCTTACTGCTTGCTTGATTGTTCGCGTGCTTCTGCCGATATTGTCTCCATCTTGGAAATTCTGCTACTTATATAGCGGAGGCACAGACGCGGACCAACAGTAAACAATTATCACGTGATCGCTATCCAGCCAGTCTATCAGCGCGTCTTTTGGATTTACAGAAAACACAGCTTCCTTTATTGTTACGTGTTGGACCGTGTTTGGAGAGTTGTTGCCTGGCAACGCGTTGATCAAATCCGTTACATTGTTATAATATCGTCTGTTTTCCATAACACTGATGTTTCATATACCTCAAAATTTTGCTGGTTATGTGTATGGCTGTGAGAAGTGGTATCTTTCATGAGAAATAAAGAGAGATGAATTGTGTTTTAAAAGAAGTAGATAGAAAAATGTTCTGCACCCAAGAATTGTGTGAGTATCAAGTGGAATTTATTTCATACTGGTGAAGGTTATTTTGTCACTAAAATTAAGGACGCAATGCTAGAAACAAAATGTGGCTAAAATATGTGTGAAACAAGAATGGAGAAAAATATTTCCTAGACGATATATCTCGAAAGATAGCTATTCGGAATCATCTTTTCTCGCCTATTAACTTTTTACTGATAATGGAATATATGTGTACAAGTAATTGAAAGATCCTAACGTTGCAACTGTATAGTGGCTGACAAATGAAGGCGTTTCTGTATAATATAAATTACCCATATGGCTCTACAGTCCTTTTGTTTGACATTGGCCCCTTTTTCATTTCCTTAATCCTACAGACAGTCGGTAGGACTCCTTTGGCGGGGGATTTGCCCGTCACAATACCACTACCTACACACAGAACAACACAAATACAGAATAAACGCAAACAGACATCCATGCCTGGAGTAGGATTCGAACCCACGATCCCAGTGTTAGAGCGACAGAAGACAGTTCATGCTTTAGACCGCGCGGCCACTGTGATCGGCCATTACCCATACTAAAAAGAAAACTCAATGATTTTAGTCCGCAAGCGAATTATACCGACCGAGCGACCGTCGCTTGTCGGCGTAGTGCCAACTTTTGCGGATAGAGGGTGTCACGTGGTCAGCGCAACGAATCCCTACGGCCGCTAATTTCGGTTTTTTAGACAGGAGCCGATATTTCCTTGAAATAACTCCTTAGTTATCCCCACGAGGCCTAGTGGACCACGTTGCAGAACCATTACTTCTCAGAAAACCTGATAGCGCTTGGAATAGAACCCGGAACCTTTGGATCTGTAGTTAGGAACTCTGACCACTAGACCACAGAGGCGGTCTTAGCCATACAAAGTAATCCAAATAATATAAGAAAACGGTAAGATCCTACTTACAAACATTACTTCCGAATTTATAGCACACTCGTCTTCAGGTCCTGATACAGTGATGTCCTTTATCGAGAAGCACATTCTTGAGTTTGCCGCGTCACGTATCCCACATCCCAGAGGTTCAGCCAGTTTAGACTCTGCTGACGTCAACGGATTTCCTACCGCAGAGTAAACAAATGCGCCATAACCGTTATCTTAGGCCAGCTTTAATTTAATATCACCCATCCTCTTCTAGATATCATACAGATACAATCTTCACAAATAATAAATATGTTCTTCTAAAATTATTTTTAATCCAAATCAGTCATAGCTCAACTGAATGACGGAGATTTCAATCTCCACAGAGACATACACAGACAAACACTCACACATTTACCATACAATTTCACGTCAAGAATATCCATTAATTCTCAGGATTAACATTTATTATTATTATATTTCACTGTGCTGCAAATGTGTTAATTTTACTTTTCTCTCCTCTTAATGATAACTTTGAACTTTAATGGAATTATTACTAGTGTTGAGTATGAGTATGAGGGGTGAGCCATAAAAACCGGCCCTCGCACTTCGACCTTCAATGATCTTTGTCCTTCCACTTTGGATTAACACTTTATTAATCCTACACTTCGAATGAAATGTAGAACTGNTCAAGAATATCCATTAATTCTCAGGATTAACATTTATTATTATTATATTTCACTGTGCTGCAAATGTGTTAATTTTACTTTTCTCTCCTCTTAATGATAACTTTGAACTTTAATGGAATTATTACTAGTGTTGAGTATGAGTATGAGGGGTGAGCCATAAAAACCGGCCCTCGCACTTCGACCTTCAATGATCTTTGTCCTTCCACTTTGGATTAACACTTTATTAATCCTACACTTCGAATGAAATGTAGAACTGTATTTATGGGGGCGTCATAAAAGTCACTTGGTTCCATGAAGAATTGACCCAGGTGACGATATCTTAAGNCCTCTTAATGATAACTTTGAACTTTAATGGAATTATTACTAGTGTTGAGTATGAGTATGAGGGGTGAGCCATAAAAACCGGCCCTCGCACTTCGACCTTCAATGATCTTTGTCCTTCCACTTTGGATTAACACTTTATTAATCCTACACTTCGAATGAAATGTAGAACTGTATTTATGGGGGCGTCATAAAAGTCACTTGGTTCCATGAAGAATTGACCCAGGTGACGATATCTTAAGTAAGCTATGGCCTCACAATCACATAAGATGTTTGTGGCTGATTCATCTCCTGGTAGGCACCTCTCACAAGTTGGGTCCTCTGTCAGTCCCAGTTTTAAAAGATGCCCTTTTAGGTGGCGGTATCCAGTAAGTAACCCTACCACCCATCTTAGCTGAACTCTGTTTAATTGTAACAGGTCCCTCGTTCTTTTGACAGAGGATCCTGATATAAATCCGTTTGCCTGTTTGAGCCCAGTTATGGATTCCCAGTGTTTTCTTTGTGATTTCTGTTAGTCCAGTCTCTGACCGCTTTCTTGGCAACTCCAACTGAGATGCCGCAAACTGGTGCAGGTCCTATGAACGGTTTCTCAGATCCTGCCTGGCACCCATATCAGCTGAACTCTGTTATGTCTTGCCAGTTGTATGAGGGATTGGTGGCAATCCCAAACCAATTTTGAAGTGATTTGGTGTGTGCCAAGTACTTCGATTGCAGCTTGACTATCTGATAGAATATAGATAGTGTTACTTTTACAATTATTATTACTCGTATTAACTTCCGTCGTGCCGCGAGCCCCTGGTCTGGGGCCCTTTCTTTTCAACGTATTTATTAATGGCCGATGTAACCACTGTAAATTTTTAATCTTTGCTGATGGTCTCAAAATTTAACTCTCCACATGATTGCCCCTTACTATGATCTAACATTAATTCCGCTACTAACTCCATGAGACTTAATATTGCTAAAATGAGTGTTGGATAATACTCCAAGAAGGCAAATGTCCTGAGTTACTAGTATTAGCTTTGTCATGCTGCCATTACACGCATCAGCAGTATTAAGGACCTAGGTGTTTATTTTTGATTCAAAATTACATTTTCACTATTATTTTGATTTCATATTTTCTGAATGCATAAAGCTGTTAGGCCTTATTTGCTCCATAACCTTAGGATTTTCTTCCCTGAACTGTTTATATATGCTATACTTTAATTTAGTCAGGTCCAAGTTGGAATGTTCCTCGGTAGTTTGGAATTCTATCGCGTCTGCCGAACGCATCCGGCAGAAATTTATTTCCATTTCTATGGATTTTCCCTTCATTTTCCTTATAGTTATACCTTCGCATTCGAGAAATTGAGTCTACATTCTTTACGTAAAAGGATATATAACCTTGGCGGTATTTATTTATTTATTTTTTTTTTTGCTGAGCCTATCGCGGTCTTAAATCCTGCGTTTCCCTCTTGGAGAATATCAGTCTAAATGTTCCTGTTCGCAATGTAATGGACTTTTCAACGCTCAATGTTTGTCCCGCTAGTAAACACTGTCCTTCTCTCCGGTTCGTCTATGCTGTCAAGGTGGTCGGTAAAGATCTCAACATATTTGCAATCGGAGCGGTTTCTCTCAATCATATTATATCTCATAATCGTCTACCTAAAAATGTTAATAATATTCGTTCATATCCTTAATGTTCTTTTCTTATGTAGTTCTGACTTATTATGTCCTTTGTGTATTTCTCTTCATCCCTGTTCTTTTTTGTTTACTTTTCTGCATTAATGTGTTTCTTTCTCCAGTTCTTGCCTGTAATTCTTCTCTTGTCTTTATGTTGTGTTTGTTCTTAATGTGATTAGCATTATCTGCACTGTGCTGTGCCTATAATTGTCGTCGTAGCTGCTGACTTGCTATATAAGTAGTAAGGAATTTAATTTAATTATTATTTTTATATAAACTGCTTTATTTTATATTTTGTTTGTAAGTTTTATGTTGTTTCTTTCTGTGTACTTGTGCTAACTTTGTAACTGGCAGCGAGGCAGTTAAGTTTTCACGTTAATAGACAAGAATTGAATTGAATAACTTTGATTGTTCATAGAATTGAATGTTAATAAACAAGAATTGAATTATTATTATTAGTCAAGTTCCAGTTCTAGCCTTAGTCTAGCTTTTGTTATGTATACATTCAATGCTCGCGTGTTGTACGTCACTTGCTGTTGGCAAGCAATTAAATAAAGGAAATTAATTGAGTTGAATTGAATTATATAACCTGCCTCATTTTGTGACTCATTCATGAGTTTTTTGCTAGTTCTTTCTAAGTACTCGTGCTAACTTTGTAAATGACCTCTGGGCTGTTAAGTCTGCATGTTCATAAACAAGAATTGAATTATTATTATTGTTGTTATTGTTATTGTAATTATTATTATTGTGCTTTTCCTCCAGTGTTTATCTTTAATTAGTCTTTGACTTTATGTTGTGTTTGTCCAGTATATAACTACTTTTATCTACACTGTGCTGTGTCTGTAATTGGCCTTGCGGCTGTTGGCTCAGCACATAAATAATAAAGGATTGAATTGAAGTGATTTGAATTGAATTATTATTGACTTCATCATTATTTAATTTCAATTACTGTATAAATTATCTTCATAGATTCAGTATTATATTAGCTTTAATTATCATTTCCAGCAAAACTGTATTATAATTTTGTCGTCTTTTCAATTATTATTTTCTGACCTTTAGCCGTGTCCTTTATAACTCCAGTATTTTGCCTACAGATCTCGTTAAATATCATGGTATTTTTCTTGACTCCAAACTGTTCTTTCATCAACAAGTTGATTATTTATTATTCCATACTATAAAGTTGTTTTGCCTAATTCCATACTATAAAGTTGTTTTGTCTAATTCCATACTATAAAGTTGTTTTGCCTAATTCCATACCATAAAGTTGTTTTGCCTAATGTAAGTTATTACTTTCTCCTTTTCTTCCTTAGACAGTCTGTTGGTGCTTTGCAGTAGCCTAATCAGAAGGAAGCTGAAAATGCTTCTGTCGTCTGGAATTCACTTACCAAAACAGGGTCCGCACGTATCCAGAAAAATGTTTCCTAAATTATGTTACAACAGATTCTTTATAAACAATAACTCATACATTTATGCTTACGTTTTGGAAGACGTATTTATTTTTAGGCATTTTGACGATATTAAGAAAACAATAAGAAAAATAATGAAAGAAAATTTAAACATGTATTACAAAATTTAATCCTAGTAAATGAACTTGTGACTAACATGAGTCATTTTAATTTAATTAAATACATGAAAACAAAATTTCCTAAAAGACACATTAATATTATCATTCGAAAAATTAATTGTGAAAATTAAATTAGGTTGATAATATCCGTAATTATGGACGTCGACACCAATAATGATTACTCTTGTATATATAAAGTGTTCCTATGCAGCATGTCAGTACCCAGGTGTCCTGCGGTGTGTGAAATATTTTCTGGCGGTAGTTCAGAATTTTTCGAACATTTCCCAGGACTTGATGTTGTGACAGTATCTGAGTGCTCTAATTTATATTCCGCGTAATTATAAACTTCTGTCTCGTTACTTCTCTGTCTCTCTCCTTTGCTACTGACTTTATTTGTTGACAGACGTTTCGGAAGATCTGGTGGAGGGGAAGTAGGTATCATATTTTGAGAAAGATCAATTTCGGTATAATAATATTCTTCACTTAAATTAGTCTCATGTTTTACAGGATCTCCTGTAACCACATTCCCGGTGGAATATTTGAATTTCCTCCAACAATACGCTAGAATAAACGCAGCAACGCATAGTAGCAACACCACAACACACACGTATATAATTTGCACTGCCATTGATGTCCCACCATTCCATTCATCTGCTGTAGTTTCTCCAGAATTCCATTCTGTTGTTGGCATGAATTCGCTCAGGTTAACTGTGTTTGTAGCGTCTGTTACTATGCACATTTCAGATGAATTAGTAACTGACCACGAGTATCCTCTGTACTTACTGGGGTATTCGCAAGTAGCGTCTGTGTCCAAACCCCTATTTCCACACCAGATTATTACGAGTCTTAGCTGACAGTTACAGTTAAATGGATTTCCTGTCAAAGCGAGCAAATTTATAGAAGTAAGTGGTCTTAACACGCTGATGTCAAGCGTTGTGAGTTCATTATTCGCTAGTAGAAGTTGTGAAAGTTTTATTTGTGATCTAAAAAGCCGTTCATCATGTAAGGAATTTAATTTATTGTTTGTGAGATCCAGGATCCTTAACTCTTTCAGATTGCTGAATAAGTTGTAATCCAGTTTTCTGAGTAAATTAATACTCATGTTGAGGTACAATAAGTTTGGCACAGAGTCAAACACGTCTGCTTCTAACATTTCAAGTTGAGTGTTTACAAGAATCAGTCGCTGGATTTCTTTCGACTGAGCTGGGATATATTTCATTTTGAAGGACCCCACTCTAACGTTTGTACAGTTGAATATTTTGTAATCTTGAGAGTGGGTGCAAGACTTAAAGAGCGAAAGAACGTTGCATGCAGCAGTAGACTTCAAGACACCAAAGAGTATGGCACATTTCCACAACCATTTAAAATCCATGGTCCTGAAATAAAAACCCAACTGTTTATACTTGGTGAAAACGATGATCAAATGTTTTTCATGTCATTGTAATTACTAGAGTAAATTATGAAGTTAAGCAATGTATAATATATTTTCATTTGGTAACATGAAGTCGGATGTTACTGTCTTCAAATCTTCATATTATTCAGAGTCAGGTCTTCGCCTTTACGTCTACCAAATATAAATGAAATATAACTGATTTGATCAACGTGTTGCCAGGCAACAGCTCTGTAAACGCGGTCCAACACGCAACAATAGAGAAAGCTGTGCTTTCTGTAGATCCGACTGACGCGCCAATATACTGGCTGGATAGCGATCACGTGATATGCTTACTGTGGGTCCATGTCCATTCCGCGGCTATATAAATAAGAGTGACAGAATTCGTTCAAGGCAGTTACGAGTGAGTAGCAGGGACAGAAGCACTCAAAGAAGAGGATAACAGTAAGCCGGAGGAGTAGAGAAGAGAACAAGAAGTCAGCCTGTGAAGATTTAACATGTGATTTGAAGACTTTATATATGCTATAGTGCAGTGGTATTGGGAGTGATTTATGGAGACTTTTATAGTTTCTGTGTTATACTCATAAAACCGTGAAGACTAATGGAGATAGACTGAAGAGAGTAACACGGAGTACTTTGTAGTGTGAAAATCAGTAACAATTACGACTTGTAAGTATCCAAAAAATCCAGTTGCCATTCCGGACACCGTCTTTAGTCACCCAAAGACCTGATAATATTATAGAAACCCAGTTTAATGTAGATATATATGAATATATAAGGAACATAATTTTAAGAATTCCATGTATCTTACTGCAGTAATATGGCGAGAAATCTGGATTTTATGGGTTTTCAGATTTAAAACATAAAATTCTAAAAATTCGGAGAGTGTCTCTCTCTTTATCTCTTTTCCTTGGAGTTAAACGAAAAGGAAAAGAATCCTAATCTCTAAACAAACAATGGGAAAACCTGACATCTCCCAGCAAGTGTTCGTGTAAGACCATGGAATAAACTAGGACGATGTCACCATATAAGACTCCAACCAGCCAAATAAATATAAATTCATTTCTGACATTGTTACCGATAATCACGAAAGAAGTTAGCCGCTCGCTGTCTCAGCAACCCGGATCTTCTCTATAGGCAACCAATACCGTCTTCTACTTTGTCTGGCGCCTCCTGTTGGTTCTTTGGTTTCGAACGATATTTTAAGATTGAATATAGATGATTCCTGACTTCTCATGCTTCTCATACTAATTTTTCCCACCTTCCTCTTTTATTATTATTATTATTATTATTATTATTATTATTATTATTATTATTATTATTATTATTATATTCCATTTGTTGGAATCTTCTTGGTTCTCCTGCGACCTTGAAGGGGTGCGGAAAGGCGGGAGTCTGCATGCTGCATGTCTGGGTTGACCTACTCTTCTCTTTATGCGATTTGCCCTAGCCTTAGTCTTCTCCACTATAATTCTGTCATCCATCCTACTCTTGTGTTTAACCTGTATAACTTGTTTCAATTTGATCAATTTATCCCTAGTGAGCATTACTGGCTCAGTCGGTATAGCGACTGGCTACGGGCTGAACTACTGAGTGGTCGGAGTCGCGGTAGAGTCAAGAATTTTCTCTTCTCCGCGTCGTTCAGACAGGCTCTGGTGCCCACCCAATTTCCTATCCAATGGGTACCGGGGGCTCTTTCCCGAGGGGTAAAGCTGCCGGAGTGTGAAGCTAACCACTAACCTCCAACTAGTGTCGAGATCAACAAATTATGGATGTATACATCCACTCCGCCGGTCACGGTAGCCGAGCGGTCTAAGGCATGCACTGTCTTCGCTCGCTCGGAAGCCGGGATCGTGGGTTCGAATCCCACTCAGGGCATGGATGTTTGTGTGCATTTTTCTGTGTTTGTGTACAGGTAGAGGCCTTGCGACGAGCTGATCGCCCGCCCAAGGAGTCCTACCGTATGTGTAAGATCTAGAAAAACCGAAGTGAACGGAGAAGTTCATGGAGGTAGGCCTAGGCCCACTGGGGCTGTAGTGCCAAGGAAAAAAGATACATCCACTCCCCATACGCCTTTATGAAATAGTGCTTAATTAGTTAAGGACAGGGACAATATTACCTTTTCCTTAACTTTGTCTTTTCGATCTGCTTGTGTACCCACTTAATGAAGATGATATACGTGTATGTTTTCAAAGTAACAAAGATTTGGGCTTGAGAAATGTGGACGCAACCTCGCCAAGCCAGTGCGCGGAGACGATCAGTTGTAATTGTTTATTCATTTATCTTAATGTCGTTACCTGAACTGCCTGTTGCTTATTAAGATAAAATATAGTATTACAGTTTTTTGACGAGAATGTTCTCCCGGACAACAGTGTATTCGAAGAAAGCAGTCTTCTGGGATTTGGCACCGTGTATATGTGGTGTTAACCGACGNATATACACGGTTCCAATTCCCAGAAGACTGCTTTCTTCATAGTCACCGTCGTGAAAGCCTCAAATTCCAAACAGTGTATTCATTTCAGTATCTACTGGTTTCTGTAAGTGTAAAAAGTGTTTTGCTGTATTAGGCTGCAAATGAAATCAGGCTTATTTACGTTACCTGTACTACGTGAATGCACGCCGTACGCGATGGAAAAGACCTCAAGCTCGAGTGTGTTGGCCGGTTACATTGTCTCTTACATGAATATAACAACCCTATACTGACTCAGATTCTTCCAATTCGCATATTACGAGTATTTTGAGACAAAATTTTACGTACCTCTCAGTTACGATCATTTCCAGGAAACATACCCTCAGATGCCCATGTCCAAGGTAGTCAGTCTTTGTGTACGTTGTTCCAGGGTTCAATCAGCTAAACCTATGAAGGTAATTTTTCATATCTGTATATATTCCGATCTTATAAACTACTTAAAAATAAGAATTCCGTCTTCTGGGATGTGGCGCCGTGTAGATCTTGTGTGAACCGATTACACAAGTTGTATACGACGCCACATCCCAGAAGACGGAATTCTTCATAATAACC